CATGAACTACAAACAACTAATAACAACTTCAATTATAATAGAGAATCGCAAAGTGCAAACTGCAATTATAAATGTTTATCTAATTGCATAACAACTACATGTATTCCCTACTAATGTGCACAACAAATTAACTACAACAACATTCAAACTCAAATCATACTAAAAATCTATTTGCAAACTTAAAATAGCAAAGTTCAAATCATACTAATTTTTTTAAACTTCAAACTAAATGCAAACCAAAATTTTAATAAGCTTACCTAAATAGAAAAAAACAAACTCAATGTAGCAAATGCAAACTCATAATAAAAAAATCGAAACAGCAAACTGCAAACTCGGTATATCAAATTTACACTAGCAACAATCAAATATTTAATTTCAAGAAATTAAAAGTGCATACTTAAAAAACAGTTACATTTTTTTCCAAATAAGCATGGACGAACTAATGACATTAACAAACCCTGCAATTTATAACTTATTTTGGAGATTCAAAAATATCATCCTCGTTCGATGTCCAGGAAAAAAAAACGCGGGGGGAAACAACAAACAAAGAAACAACATACGATGTCTTCACACAACAAACGATCTCCAAATAGCAAAAAGAAAAAAGAAAAAAACTGGTTCCACAACACGTAAACAACAAACTGGATTTTTTAAATTGCAAACGGTTCGAGGACCCTACCTATGGCAGATGCAATTCAATTTTTTATAGGGTTTGGTGTTGATGAAATCGATGTTTGGGAGCTGTGGAATTTTTTGAAATCGATTTTTCTGGGAGTGGTGGAATTTGAGATTTGAGAATACGTCAGATTTGAGAATGGGTAAGTCAACTGCAGGGAGAAATATGGGATATATGTGTGTATTTTTATTTCTGTATATTATTAGGGATATTTTGGACACGTTAAAAATAATAAATTTAATAAAAATTGGATTTTATTAGTTGGATTTATACACATAAAATCTCTTATAGGAGGACCTATAGCAAATTGTCCATATATATATATATATATATATATATATATATATATATATACATATATATAATGTATTATGCTTAGGTATATTCAGAATGTCTGATTTAATGTATTTCCTATTTTTTTAAGGGGTAATTTTCTATAGACCCCCCATTACAAGATTCTATAGGTATTAATTCAACTCATAAGTCCAATTTTGCTAGAACCCCCTACAAAAAATTATGGCCGATATACCCTTAAATAAAATAGGAAATTTTTAATCTTAAATCAATCAATAGCAAATTTATTCCCCGTGAACCCATCTAGCAAAAATAGGGCCGCGATTATCTCGATCGTTGAATCTCTCCTAGAAACAAAAAAACTCTCTCCCTTTTCATGCGAAAAAAATATTGTTGATGTGTCTAATCATAATTAGGCTCATAAACCTAATTAAGATTAAGCCCAAATTGCCCTAAGTAGTCTAATTATGTGTGAAAACTCAATTAGATTACTTTTTACCTTTAAATGACAACACATTGTCCCACATCGGATTTCTACGAAAGTCCTACCTATTCATGCACCTATAAATGTATGTTTCATTTTACATAGGAATGTACACTCTAATTTGGCAATTAATTATTATTATTTGCTTATATTATTACATCTTCTGACTTGAGCGTTGGAGGATAATCGCCGGGCCAAACCCGGCGTGTCACCTAGTGTTTCAATTGTTTTGTAGGTTAACGAACGGAGCAGTCCCTTCGACTACCTCGGACACGTGGCAGTGACTCTCGGCATTCTCTACCTTTGTGAGCTCAAGGACTCTTGGGTTGCCCAATTGGCATTTGAGCAGCATCAACTGTAATCCTAGAAAAAATCGTGAAATTGATTTTTTTAATATATCGTTGTTCTCGACGACTTGTAGATGTAAATCTCAAAAACAAAATCGAGAGACAATGATTAAAGATGGAAAAAATACAGGTGATTTGCTCTTCTATATATGTTCTTTTATTTTTTAATGGCAATTTATTCACGAATTGTCATGAAAATTTTGAGCTAATTGCAAATACCACCCCTGTGTTATCTCTAATTGTCGAATATCCCCCTGTGAAAAAAAAAAACTCACTAACACCCCCTCGTGTTAACATTTTCGAAGCACACTGCACCCTTTGTGATTTTAGGCTTTGACTGAAGGTAAAATGACAAAAATGCCCTATAGGGTTTTTCAGCAAATTAATAAAGCATATTATAAATTTATAGATATTATACATTTTTTTATTTTGTAAATATTAAAAAAAAAATATTTAAACTAGAATAAAATATATAATTTAATATTAAAAGTTTTTATATGTTTTTTTTTTTACATTCTATATTAAATAAAGAAAATAAAGAAAAAAAAAGAAAAAAAAAAAGAAAAAAAAAAGAAAAAGAAAAGAGCAGCTTCTTCTTCGGCAAGAAGATCCCCTGCCTTCCCACCGAACTCACAGGCCACGGCTGATCCCACCCTCCCACCCAGCTCACAGGCAACATCACTCATCGACCATTTGTCCATTCGCTTCTGCTCTGGCACTGTTCACCACCATCTTCTCCAAATCCGCCGCAAACAACGTCTTTGAAATTTTCGTGTCCACCAATAAATTTTGATCAATGGATCGAAAGATGTTGATATTGATTCTTCGACCCCAATTACCATATCTGTTTTTATGTGAAAATCATTGGTTTCTTGCTTTTGATTTTCCCGTTTTTGTTACATAATATTTTTGATGTTGATTGCAATATGTTATCGGTTTTTTCGCATCATAACAGAAAGTGCTAAATAAACAGCAGCACGTTATTGGTTTCTTGCTTTTGATTTTGTTGTTTTTTGTATATTTTGCACTTTGCTATTTATTTTGGATTTTGCTTATATGATGCGTATTTTGCTTTTATATTATATTTTATTTCGACTTTGTTGTTATCATAGTGTAAGTTGCATTTTACTGAAATATTTGCAGTTTGGATTCGTAATAAATAGTTTCATCTATCATAACAAAATAATTATTGAAAATAACTTATTGTCACTGTATCATTTGCATTTTGTAGTTTGTTGTTGACAATTGCATTTGGATATAGTTATTTGCATACTATTATTTGGTTGTTATTGCCACTATTTTGTTGATGTTGTTGAAGTTTATATTTCTTATGTTGTTGTCTGCAACTTGAAGTTTGTTGATGTTGTCCCTTAGACGGTTTTCATTTTCACTTTTGCAGTTCTGCATATTTTAATTTGCAGCTCGTTATTGCAAATTAATATTAGTTTTTTTTTCTTCTTTGGGAATAACTATGAAAGGTTTCACATATTTTTTGGTTCTCTTCCTAAACTCGTATTAAAGTTCATGTGTGTGTGGCTTTTTTTTGTCTTTTGTATTTTGTCGTTTAATAATGTATTGCATGTTGCGAGTAATTGTACTTTTTGCATATCGTTGTTGCAACTTCGAACATTGTATTTCTCTATAGGGATTCAATGATGTGTTTTGATATTCTAATATGCATTGATGCAAATTTGTGCATATTTTAATTGGAAGCTTTTTTGGTTGAACTCGGAGTTTACTGTCGCTACAACTATAGGCCAGAAGAAAACAAACAAGAGATTCATTAGAGATTGATGCTACTGACACGATCATGTTTCTAGAAGATCCCCGATGACGTTTGGAAGTTGTGAATTTAGTCGGACGTCGAGACTATGTCCGTAATGACATCAACCCATTCATAATCAATTATGATAGATTGTAGTTTGTTCATTGACTATATTGCAACATTGCTTGTATCTATTGATTTGTATCTTACAATATTTTGTATTTAATGTACTGATTTATTCCTAAATAAAAATGGTTTGTTGGTTTGTTATATCATCTTTTATATTTTATATTTTAAAAATATTTTATATTGTTCGAGGAAGAATAAACTTGAACCTGTGATGTTTGAGCAAATTATCATTAGTTCCATATTATGTTGTTGTGAAAAGACATTTGTAAAATAATATTTTTGCCATATGGTAGGTGATTCCGTATTATATTTATTTTGCTATTTATTTTTGCTGTTATAAATTGCAGTTTGTATGTTGCTAATTGTATTTTGCAATTTGTTGTTGTAACTTGACACAAGTATTTTGCAATTTAGCTATTTATTTTTGCTGTTATAAAATAGAAAAAAAAAAGGGAGAGAGAGAGAGAGACGTGATTGAGATGAGAGAGAGAGGAGTTAAATGAGAGAAAAGAAAGGGAGGGGGAGACGTGAGGGAGAAGAGAGAGAGAGGAGTTAAATGACAGAGTGAAATAGAGTGAAATGTGAGATTTTATTCATATTTTCCATAACTAACTACCTTAATATAAATAAAAATTAAGGGTATTAATGTCAATAGAAAAATAATTTAATTTAATTTATATTATATTTATTGGTCAAGGGAGCTATAGCTATAATCAACTAACAAAATAAACCCACCGTCATATAAGTTCTAAATAATGGAGTTCCAGCTAATTATTCATTTTTTAAATTAGTACAGTCATTAATATTCTTTTAACGAAATTCAAACATGGGGACTAGCAAATTCCCGCTATAAATTAAGATAATGATTTAAATTAAGATAATGATAAAATTAATTACTCCGTTCGTTTCAAAATAAGTGCCGTGTTGAGTTGGTGCGCACATATTAAGAAAATTAATAAATATTCATAAATAGTAATTAATGCATCCTTGAAATCCTATAGTAACAGATAATATGTAAAAAAACTCCTGCAAAGTAACAGTTAATTTGAAAGAGAGGGAGTACTGATAAGTAATAACTAGAGAAAGTAAGAACTTTGGATAGGAGTAAGTTCAAGAAAGAACCCATGATAGGGTTCGTTTATTTGTAATGAGAAAACACACACACACACATTGAAATCATAAATACAACAAACAACAGTGGAAATTAAAATACATGACAGAGAGAATTAAACCAGAGCATATATAATTCAATATATAGTAGCTTAAATAATCAATCTTCATCTTCAGCAGTTGATCAGCTCGCTCTTAGGTGTTGATGTGCAGTGTTAAACCAGTGCCCTGAAGCTTACTCTTGATCAACTTCTCCATTCTTTCAGCCATGGCGGGATTAAGATGATTCGCCCAATCCCCAACTTCTCCTTTCCTAAAGTATGAACTGTTCTTCACTATTCCATTAACAGAATAATATCCATTCTTGTTCACCTCCAAATTCTTGAGGTTATCGAAGCTGCAAACCCTCGATATTTCCTCCACCAAACCCCGTTCTTCTTCCTCCAGAGAGAAAGGGCACCCGATAAACTCGGCAATCTTCCTTACATGAAGGGCAATGTCGTCTTTCAAATCCTCGTACTTGAGGAACAACACCTTGTCAGGATTCTTCAAGTGGGCATTCCAGTATCCAATCATATGCTCGCAAAACGGGCCGTAGTGATGAGCCCCGTCGCAAAACATGTCGAAAGCCTCGTCCAACTCAAGCGGGCCCGCGCGGCGATCTTTTTCTCCGAACTTGTTGTCGAGCGAGAAATGGCGGAACGAGATGAACTGGTCCATAGGGTTTCTGCAGATGTAGATGATCTTGCATCCGGAATTAGGGATGGAATCGGGGAGGGAATCGAAAGGAATGTGTGTCGCCAAGATCCTCGGAGTACTAGTTTGTTCGAGATCGGGGTTTTCTTGGTTTAGATAAAGATTTAACTCGAGAAAAGGGACGACTTCGTGAGGATTGCAAGTGAGCAAAGGGCTTTGAGTATCGATGTTGCGATTAGCAATGGAAAAAGTGAGGGCTTTCAACCAGGTGGTTCCAGATTTAGGAAGTGACGACAGTATTATGTCGGAATCTTTTGCTTTGAAGTACTTTTGAGCGGATAGCACCGGTCGGAAAAAAGGGAGCGGGCACCAAAACCCTTGGTATTTGACAATCCGCCAGCCGTCCCAGTTTGTCCGCTGCTCGAGTTTCTGGAGCTGAATCTGATCGTCGTCGTCCATTGTCGTCGTTGACTTAGCAAGTACGTTACCAACTACGTTACTTAGGGTTTAATTGTTTAAACATATATAGAAGAAGATGGCGGTGGTGAGAAGATATTATTATCCCTTCATAACTATTTATACTAATCAGATTTCCCATAATTTCAACATCTCGGTAGCATATATATATTATAATAATCTGATATCTAATGTATTATTTTGTACCTGCCACATAATTAATCAATACCAAATTAATCTATATTATAATAATTTGATATCCTACTTGATCTATTATTGTACCCGCCACATAATTAATCAATACAATATTAATCTAGTGGTTTCTCTTATTTATTATTTTTCTCTACACGTGAATCTTGCATATAGCCATTACAGTAATGGGTAAATATAGAGAATAAACAAATCCTCAATTACGAAGAAAACCCTCAACTATTCATAATTACGAAAAACCCTCTGGATTGAATTATTTTGTTGTCTTACATATTGTTAAGATATTTTGGTACTATAATTATGGGATATTATTAGATATTAATATATATGGATATCATATTTGTGGAATTTGATTAGTGTGTCAAATTTGGTTGTAATTAGGTTTTCTTTGTTTAACTTTATTCTTTTATGTATAAATGCTCATACCTCTGTTAAGAAGATTACGCTCTTAACGCAGAAAATATTCTAGAATGTTCATTGTTTATTAGTTTTAACACATATGTTAATATCATTACGGTCTGAATCTGCTGAAATCTTTTTTATTTCATGTTGAATTTATAAAATGGGGAAATATGCAATTGTCATTAAATGAGAAATATTTTGAACTAAATTCAATTGAGTTTAAACATTTTTCTGTACATTCAAACTTCATTCTTAATTAGTGAGATCCCCTGCACTACTGTGAGAAGAAAAAAGTACCCTCAACTACTATAACCATAATTATTTGTCTACCTCTATCACTTTCATCTTCTCTCTTCTCCACCTCGCCACCTAAATCCATCAACTCTCTCCGAAAATTCAGACCTTCCTCCACCGCCGTTGCCGTCATCGCCGCATTACCGTCGCTCGTTGTCGCCGCTTCCTCCTTCGTCTCCACATAAATCTCTTTCTCTTTTGTTCGTTACCCCTCTCTTTACACCACCATCGTCTCCACATAAATCTGTACGCCACCACCACCGTCGCCGCTCGTTGCCGCCGCCTTCGTCTCCACGTAAGGCTCTTTCTCTCTTTTTCGTTATCTCTCTCCATTTCTCATTTTTTTTGTTTTCAGATCTGTCCACCACCACCACCACCGTCGGAGCCTCTTTCATCCTCTCTTTCATTCACCGCCGCCACCGCCGTTGTCGTCGACTCCCCCTCCCTCTCTTTCGTTATTTTTCTATCTTTGTTTCTGTACTTTTCGATGTCTTTTTTTTTTCTCCTCCAGATCTGACATACAGTATCAGATTTGAGCAGCAGCAGTAACATGACTATAGTCATATTCGAAATTGATATTGTTGAATATGACTATCTTCTCGTTTCAAGTTTGTAATAACAAGATTCAAATTGTGATTTTTTGTTTGTATGTTGATTGGATTGTTTTCGTAAACAATAGGCAATCTTCGTTGTTTTATATAATTTGGTAAACATGACTGTACCACACTATATAATAAAAAAATTTAAATTGAAAATGTAGAAAACTGCAATATAAAGAAAGAATATGAATATAGTTGATATAATCACATATAGTCATACTCAACTATAGTAATATTCAACCATAATCATATTCGGCGTTGTAGAACTGCCAAAAAAATTCAATTTTTTTGTTTAAAAAATTATAAAAAAAAAATATTTTTATTAAAACTTTATCAAAAAATGCTAAATAAAGTTCGAAAATAATAAAAAAAAAAATCATTTTTTTTCATTTTTTTTTGATTTGGTAGCAGATTTTTAGGATTAGGTGACGTATTGCTAGGAAAGAGAAAAAAAAAAGGAATAATTGGGACTAACTGTGCCAATTGACACAAGGAAAATATTGGGAATACAATTTCTAAGGATTGTCACAAAAAAAAAAAAAAACATTTAAGTAGACATATCACAATTTCTTGCACAAAAAAGGCGAATCCCTCGCCCCCAGGGCCCCCATCCCTTGGCCCGATAAGGATTGATGGAGGATGTAAATCATGGTAACTCAACGGCCCGTTAAGGTAGCGGACCCGGACCTGGTGCCCACAAGGAACCAACCCTCATTTGGAGTTGAAATTCCCACACTGCAGCTGTCAGAATTCGATCCTAGGTCCTTGCACCAACTTATCACCTCCGGAACCAGTTGAGCTGCACCCATGCGGGCCATATCACAATTTCTTAGTTATATGAGGGGCTCATTGCTCATGACCCCATATAAAATATAAGAAAACATACGATGTTTAGAAGATGTTATCCTTATTATTAATTAGATTTCCCATGATTTCAGGATCGGGTAGTATATAATAATCTGATATCTACTGTATTATTGTACCCGCCACATAATTAATCAATACAATAATCTACACATGGATTCTGCACATAGCCATTACAATAATGGGTAAACATAGAGATAAAAGAAAATACTGAACTAAAGTTAAATTACTAAAAAAATCCTCAAGTATTCATAATTACCAAAAACCCTCTAAATTGAATTATTTTGTTGTCTTACATATGTTAATCCATTACGGTCTGAATCTGATGAAATCCTTTTTGGGTTCTTCGATGAAAACCCCCTCATTACTTATTTGAATCTGATGAAATCTTTTTTGGGTTCTTCGATGAAAACCCCCTCATTACTTATTTTAATGGAGAAAAAATCCAAAATATTTCTCTTTGTTTGAGAAAGATCAACACCCATTTCCAACCATTATTGTTTCCAATTTTGTTCCCGCCTATCACATCATCACCGCGCCACGCGTTGGTCATCAACGAATTTTTTTATTTTTTATTTCATTTTTTTCCGTTTTTTTTTTCCTGTATCAGTTTTATTAATCGACTATGAAGCATAGTCAATTAAGCTAAATCGATTATGAAGCATAGTCGATTAAGGAAATTTTTAATTTTTTATTTTTATAATTTTTCAATTTTTTTTGTTTTTTAATTTTTTTTTCTACATCAGGTATATTAATCAACTATGATGAAGCATAGTCGATTAAGAATCTGCTACTACAAATAACAAATCATAACTGCAAAAAAATGCAAAATCAACTATATTTTACAAAACCAAAAAATATAAAAACATTATAATTGAGTTATACAATTGGAAAGAATAAATAAAAAATCCAAAAAAAAATTTGGAGTCGATCAAATCAATTACCAGAGCATAGTCGATTAGCTTAATCGACTATGATGAAGCCTAGTCGATTAAGAATCTGCTACTAAAAAGAACAAATCACAATTGCGAAATCAACTATATTGTACCAAATCAAAAAATATACAAACATTATAATTGATTTATACAATTGAAATCATTAAACGAAAAATCCAAAAAAAGAAAAAAATTGGATTCGATTAACCTTAATCAACTAACAGAGCATTGTCGATTAGCTTAATCGACTATTGAACATGTACATAGTCGATTAAGGTTCCAGCATGCGCGAATGTCTCTACATGCGCTGTCCTCCGCTTGATCCACCAAAAAACCCTAAATCTGCCTCCCCATCGTCACCACACCGCCGCCACACCACACTATTCAACCAATCCCTAACAAAAATAAAAAAAATTAAAAAATAATTCATACAAAAAACACAAATTAGCATTTCAATTTCCAAAAAAAAAAAAAACAGAAACGATTAAAGATATTTGTCAACCATTGATGGTCACTCCATAAACAATTTAAGAACACACGCCAAAACCAACCCTAAAAAAATATTAAAAAAAACAAAAAAAAAAACAAATAAATACCTTCGTCAACATCAATTGCAATAGTGATTTTCTCATGCCTCATATCCGTAGCCGTCGACCCACTGCGTCCTCGACGACGAGCATCAGTCATCAGCTTTAGCGTCGTCGGTGGAAACCACCGCCGCCAACTACAGATCCGTCACCACCCTTCACGCAACGGTGGGAGGCGGCGACAAGTACTCTTCCACCACCACCGTCGGTCGCCGTCAAACATTCTTCCAAAGTCACTATGTGATCTCCTTCTCCGACGACGTCTTGCTTTTCCTCCGAATTTCAGTCGAGAAGAGAAGAGAGAAGAGATAAGATGATAAGATGAGAAAAAAAGATGAGAGAAACGGAAAATAAAATGGGTTAGGGTTTTGAAACGTGAAAATGAGATTTAATATTAATAAGGGTGGTTTGGGAATAATTAAAATAGCATTTGGGTGGAATATTAACTAAGGGAGTTTTCTCTAATTGTTTTTGGGATGGGGGTGTTTCCTTAACTCATTTTCCTAGATGAGGGAGTTCTTGCTAATTTTCCCATCTTTTTTAATTTCAAGTTTAATTTATAAATGGGTAAATGAGTGATAGCCCATAGTTTTGAAAATATATATGAGGAGGTCTAATAATTTTTTCCGTCCTAGTCAAAAACTCAAATTCTGATGTTAATTAGTGAGACTTCCTGGACAACTTAAAGTAGATGTTTTGCCCTTGGGATTATTTTAGGGACCTCTCATATGAAAATTATATATGACTAACCACCAAGCTAATTACATGCTAGTGCATACCCTCTCCATTTTGAAATTAATTTGACAGGCCCCCCATCGCCCACCTTGAAGTACCTAAATTGCCCTTTTAAAATCAGTTTTAAACCCTATACACTCAAAGTCGTCTCTCTCTTCCTCTCTCAACTCTCAAATTCAAATCCCGCCCGCATAGATCTTCGACCAGAGAAGTTGCTTCCCGAAGTCATAACTCTCTCTCTCTGGTGGTTGGAATTCGATTGTTTAACTACTGTCGGATTCCTCTCATCGAGCTCTTTCTTTTGGTGGTGATCTCATTCAATCTGGAGCACTCGATCTGCTTCGGCAATCGTGTTACAGTTGGCGCGTATTTTGACA